CATGCAAAACTGCGCTGTTGAAGTGAGTTTTTGAATGACGGTTATGCTGAAGTATTACTGTAGAAGGAAGTATTGTGGCTAATTTTGTTTGACTTTCTAGGTACGTATGTCCAGTTGTTCGCGCTGTAACACCTGTGAGAGTTTGGTGTATGATGAAGAGATCATGGCTGGTTGGACAGCTGATGACTCTAACCTCAATAGCACATGCCCCTTTTGCGGCTCTCCGTTTCTGCCTCTGCTCAATGTGGACATCAGAAACCTGGGTGACCAGGAAAGGTAATTTGATCTGCAACCACAGAATAGACATTTCTATGGAGATATTCACCATTTCTAACTGTTTTCTTTTTTGTCTTATCAGATCCCCCTCTCAAGATGCACATACTTGCCAGACAGACACCGCAGATGAACTACCACAAGTTTATGATGCCACTGGCAATCTATCCAGCAATGGCAAAAAAGACCCTGTAAGAATACATTTCTCAAACTTCACTTCTTTACATTTCATTGTTTTTCGGACTCCTATTTTGTATGCATCAGATCTTTATTAATAGTATCTATAATGATATGTAGTGCAATGTACCAATTTTTCTGGGATATCATTTGTAGATAATCTGAAACATGCAGTGATTTACATTCCAAAGCGACTTATACTTTGTAATGCAATTAACATCAAGCATGCAAAATATGCAAAGCACAAATATTTGATTGAATGCCAAATGAAAGAGTTACGTGAGCCAAAGTTTATTTATACAGCGCATTTCTCACATGCAAGTAGTTTCAGTTTAGCTTTAAATACAGTTGTTTAGACTTGCCATTTATAATAAATGATGTTTATAATGAATGCCACTAACATTTATTTTAGCTTGTTTTGTGGCTGTTTTTGTATTGCTGTTCTCTTCTGAATAGTGTTAATTTTAAAGGATTTGTTGTGAAGAGAACTGAAATACTTTTTTATGGTGTTTATAGTGTTTGTAAACATTTAATTTTATTTACCGCTATTTTACATTATTTTTTAATGTAATACATACACCGATTCAAACATTTTTTTTCTCTCAGCTATGCAATTTTCACTACATATTTTCCAGAAAATGCGGTATTATATAATATCTGATATGTCTGTGACTCAAAAGTTCGTTCAGTTGATTATGCTGGTAGTTATTTTAGTGTTTCTGGGCTGCAGGAGCCAGTTACCGTGCCCTACCTGAGTCCTCTGGTACTTTGGAAGGAACTGGAAAGCTTGCTGGAGAACGAGGGGGACCAGGCCATCTCGTCTGCAGCCATTGTGGATCATCACCCTATTGTGTTCTGGAATCTGGTGTGGTTTTTCCGTAGGCTGGACCTGGCCAGCAGCTTGCCGGGCCTCTATTTGAGCTCCAAACACTACTGCAGTGATTCTCAGGTGGGTCTCAAGAATTCTCACGTGATGTTCCTCTTCCCATTTGTGTTTGAATTAATAAATAATTGTAAATTCATAGAAGCTGTTGGTGATGCCGCTGTACTTCCCAATAAGAGCTAGAGTTTTTTTTTTTTCTGCAGCCTCTGCAAAGTTGTGCATCTGAAGACAGTAAGAATGTCTTGGTCCAGATCCTGTGGGACAATCCCAGACTGCATCAGGACCCCATCAAGCCTTGCTACTTGCTCTGGAATTCATATTGTAAGAATATGATACAAATATACTGTATATACAAAGTCATTTACACAGAGCTTTATGGCTGTAAATGTGCATGAAAGTGGTTCTTTGACAAATATTTGCAACATATTATCCTGTTTGTGCTATGGACATGAGTTATGGTCAAACCATGAGGCTTAAGCTGAAGTGTGGCATTATTTTTCTAAAGAGATCAGACTTACAATTTTTGCCTGGTGGATGAGAAAATGTGGAAAAATATCTTTTAGTCATACATTGGCGAAGGAATCAGTGACATATTTAGGTGCCAGAATATCAGAGAGTTGGTTCTTTTTACTTAGTCGTTTTACAGTATTTATATTATTTGTGTACTATAATAGCAGTTTTATATTTTAAATTCTAGTATTTTATTATATGCATCTGCCATTTTTATTAATTTGTTTATATTTATCTTTCTATTTTAGTTTTTAATTTTAGTCATTTTAGTACTTCAGCTTTATTTATTTCAATTATTTGACAGGGAAACTAATCGTTTGTTTTTTCATTTAAGCTTTTATCTAGTATTTATATTAGACATATTTATACTATTTCTTTAAGATTTATTTAAATGATTGAAAACGATTTTAATAGTTTTAGTTAACCACACAGAACACCCTAGCAACTGCATTGAAAGTTTAACAAAAACTACTAAATGTACTTAAACCCCCTGAAAACACTTGAGCAGATGCAGTAGTTTTGCTTCCGTGCACCAGCCACCTACTTCACCTTGGGTTCATGTTTTTTAATAGGTGCAAATCCTGCAGTATCTGAGGAGGAGGAGCAGGCTGTGAGCCTAGAGCTGCTGCAGAGTGTCGTGAAGAGCATCCAGAGGAACGATGTCTACCAGCCCATGAGTCAGATACTGCAGCTACTGGGCACCAGACTGGGCTTCGTCAGACAACGGTATGAGAACAAATTAAACAGAAACTGATTTAATAAACATTTTGACAAGCTAATCTTAATGACTCATTTCTATTTATTTTTCTCATATGCAGGAGCTTATATAGAGATATCCTGTTCCTATCTTTGGTGGCTTTGGGCAAGAGTAGCATAAATATTGGTGAGCTGACTGCTTTCATGATGTCTTATACTACTGTTTCGAAGTTTGGGTTAAGTAAGATTTTTTTATATACTTTTTTATACTTCAATAAAGACACATTGAACAAATTACATTGTTATTTCAAATAAATGCTGTTCTTTTGAACTTTCTATTCATCATAAGATCCTGAAAAAAATGTATCACTGTTTTCACAAAAATATTAAGCAGCATAAGTATTTTCAACATCGATAATAATGAGAAATATTTCTTGATCAGCATATTACAATGATTTCTGAAGGATCATGTGACACTGAAGACTGGAGTAATGACTGCTAAAGAATTAACATCACAGGAATAAATTACATTTTAAAATATATTAAAACAGAAAACGGTTATTTTAAATTGTAAACGTATTTCATAATATTACCGTTTTTTTATTATGCAGCCTTGATGAGCATAAGAGACTTCTTTCAAAAACATAAAAAAAAATTGTACTGACCCCAAACTTTTCAAATGTATTCTATGTTTATCAAATCACTGAACATGAGCACTAGCATCATTACTAACACCTTCATTTATTCTCACAGATGCATTTGACCGTGAATACAAAATGGCATATGACCGTTTGACGCCCAGCCAGGTCAAGATGACCCACAATTGTGACCGTCCACCCAGCGCTGGAGTCATGGAGTGCAGGAGAACCTTTGGGCTGCCCAGTCTCTGATTCACCTCCTCTCATTCATCCCTCTTTCCTCGCATCCATCACACAGGAAGGCATTTAAAGAAGGAACACTTTCATTCATGTAATCCTGAACATTCATCGTAACCAAAGCTACCTCTGGCTCCCATGAGGTCTCTTTCGACACAAGTCCTGTCTATTTATGTGACTGTTGTTCTTCATACACTTCCTGTGAATACGTCACTTTATATAGTCTGTGATCCTGTTCTTTTTCTTGCATTTGCCCCTCACTTTTGCTCTTCCACCTGCCTAGTGTCTTGACCATCAATAACCCCTTTCGGAAACTTGGGGTCACATTTGAATCGTCTAGCACCGCTCAGGTAAACTTGAGTTTAGAGGTCATCGTAGATTAGGAGCAATATCATTGTGCTCAGGTCATTCCATCGCTCCATTCATTCACGTCCAGTGAATTGTGGAGTGGATTCGGGACCAGTAGCTAAAGAACAATCAAATCGATCACGTTTAGGATGCGTAGAAGCACAATGAGCAACCCCAACAAACACAGTCCTCTTTAGGCCGTCTAGGGGCACTTGTATATTTCACATACAGAGAGACTTTGTGTACATAGTCTTATTATTTTGCATATTTGTATTATACAGTTATATTTTAAGACTGGAATTTGTTATAATTGACGTGTCTCCATTTGTAAAGACTATGCTGTTCGTAGTGTATAGGTTTCTCTTTTGAGCGTGTGCTCTTTGTCGTCCTGGTCCCGGAGACCAGTCGTATGGTGACCGTCAGTGACACTGTCGTCTTGAGGTACAGAACTGGACCAAATATAAACTCTTGACTCACAGTTTACATGGGGAGAAAAATATTTGATGAGATTTTGAACTGAGAAATGCCTTACCTTGGGGCGAAGAACAATACGGAGACAAATTTACAGCAGGGTATAAAGGGTAATATAGCGACTATAAAATAAAATGGACTGATAATGTGAATGTGGTCAACGTTTTACACTCACTTACATAATCCAGTGTTTGCCATGAAGGTACATAATTATAAAAAAAAATGTAAACATTGCTTTATATTGTGCAATGTTGCATAAAGATGGGTTTCCATTGTCGAGTTACATAAAGTACCTGAAGCATACAAGCACTTATTTACTCAGCTTGAACTCTAAACGTGGTAACTGGAACGGTTATATTTTAATATTGTTCATTTTTTTTATCATTATGTTAATGAAGATGCACTTTTGAGTCTGTGTGGCTGGGAAGAGGATTGATGACGTTTAAATGTTTAAAATGCAATGGATTATGGAAAAGGTAATTATACTCAATGACACATTAATGTTAATGCCCCAAGTAGGAAAAAAACAGATAATACTGCCCTAAACATTTTGGGATGAATTTTTTTGTTTGTTTTGTTTATTGACCTGATGCTGTGTAAAACTACAAAAAACACAATAATACACTTTACACTGCTTTTAATGTTTAGCAGGTTTTCTATCACCTGCTTTTTACGTCCATAATAGTGAAACAAACTGACCTATTTCATGGAAGCTCATTTAAAGCGGTTAATGTGTAAGGTGATTCGTTTTGTTTGTTCGTTTTTTAACAAATCATTTTGTTAGGACAATGTGCTTTACATATCACTCCTTTTGTTACTTCTATTTATATTTGTATATATCATTTTGTCAGATCTGAGCCAGGTCTATAAAATTGTTTAGAACTGTAAATAAACACTTAAATCGACTCCAGTGTGTTTGTGTTGGTGTCTCTGGTTTGTTCGATGAAATAGAGGGAGAAAAAAGTCGCATTTGAAACCCCATTTAATTTTGCTCTGAACCAACAAATGAATATTTACAATGAGCAACTCTCGAGAGAAATCAACACAATGTGCGACATTCAAAAAAGAACAATCTTTGCCTCTATTCAGTAGTGAATTCAAACAGCAGTGTGATATTTGTATGGAAATTCACAATTGTTTTTTATCAGAATCATACTGATTACATTAGACTTTGTAAAGAAGTATTGTTATATGCTTGAGATTCTACTTTTATGATGGAAAAAGGTCATATCTTACATACAGCACAGGATCTGCAATTAGAACGCTTGCTAATGACATTTTTCCATGTTACAAAAATAATTCCATTGCAGAATGATTAAATTACATCATTTAAAATAAGCTCACAATTTCTCCCAATGTAGTCCCATAGCTATCTGAAAACCCACAACATCAAAAAATACAATCACAATATAAAATGAATCAAAAACAATTTGGAAACATTTTCTTTGTTATGCAGTTTTTCATCATTGGAAAAAATTAAAGCAACACTGACTTCTCATAAGGTTATAATCTTTGCGATTTTAAATGTCGTAGACAAATATGTTTTGCATGTGTGTCTTGGTATCATCCCAATAAACCTAAATGGTTAAATTGCACCACAAATCATTAAGTGAGAGTTTGAGAAAAAAAAAAAAATACAATTTTACATATTTATTACTCTGTGGTCCTGTCCCAAATGGCACACTGGATGTGACCTTTGATTATGCAATCATAATCATATTGTGTTTGCCAAGTCCACAGGGCAGTAGGGTGTCTTATTTGTCATTTTACGGTTCAAAAGGGTGTTCAAGAGTGCCTCTGTATGTGGTCTCAATGTGCCCTTTTGCAAAGCCCACATTGGTGGGCCAACACAGCAGTCTACACTCAACAATCCATATGGCATTACATCACCAAAGTGTGGATAACACAAATGGTGACCATTTGGGACAGGGCCCGTTACTCTTCTGTCAATACTGCAGTCACTTTAATGTAACAAGCCAAAAGTGGTGACCAAAAAAAAACTCAAGTGTCTGTAACAGTTAACATAGTTTGGAAATGATGGCCAGTTATTGCATCCCTTTACAAAAGATCTTGCGAAATACAGAATAAGTCAACAGTGAGTCCAGAGATGCTTTAAATATGTGTGAAGTTACAGTTCAGAACGTTTCAAATGACAGGACTGTATCCACAGGTTTGCTCAGATGGACACGTGACATATAATGATTCGATCCTCTAGCATGACACTGAGCACCAGGAACACAAAGTAGAGCATGAACATGATGAATCCCAACACTTTATTCATCCTCCACTTACAGGCAGCAATGGAGATAATGACGAAGAGGAGCATGAGGAAGAGCAGCACAATGGCACAGAACAGCCCATTACTGCTCACGGGCACCGGCGCCAGTGAATGGCAGAATGAGAAAATCAGCCAGGGCACCGGCAGCCTGTAACAGTGAGGGGGATATTATATTAAGATATACAAAATGAAAATAAGTGATTAGGCATTCATTCATACCAATGGGATGATTGCGAGTGTGATATTTCTAAACAAACAACAGCTTAAAAAGTTATTATTCAGTAACAGTTTAGATGCACATCTAAGTTCACAGATGCATATATAACAACAGAGTCTGGGCTAAATCTGGATTACATTCTGGCATAGTTTTTTTCATTTTAGATGTACGATGGATTCTGCCAGTTAAAACACAAATCAGGCTTGTGTATTTATAACATCAATTACTACATTCTTTTTTCAGAAATTGAAGTAAACTTTAAATGTTATTGTGTGTTTGTACTTTTCATATTTTTGAGAACTTGAGAGCTTCCAGTAGGTTATTTTACAGAGCTGTCAACACTGATCCGGCCACCTGCAATCAGCTGACGAACATCCTATTCCTATATAATACTAGGCTATATATCAATATTCTTATGAAATATTAGATATTATTATGAAAATCTGGCCAATTACTACTCCCATTATTACACTTCTTTTTTCAACATGCTGTCTCAACAGCACTTTAATATGCAAATTAGATTGTGTATAGATAACATTGTGCTGGGAAAACCAGTTTATGGAATTTTTAAACATATTGCATAAAGCAAAATGGTATATCAAATTATTTTGTTATATATTTTATAACATAGTTGAGAACCATCCTTAAAACAAAGTTTAGTATTAAAAAAATCCTGAAACCTAAAAATTCCCATTGTTTTCCCATTGTTTTTGCCTTTTCATGTCTATTCTTGTCATTTTATTTTTAGAAAAACTGAGTCCTGGTGTCCTCTACAGAGGACATAGCATAACATATGAATAAAATATTTTTCGAAAATGTTATTTTACCATTTTGTTCTTATGCTCTAAACAATGTAATGACATGAAAAAAATACTAAATTCACAAAGCTTTTTATTTCTGGTTCTCAGGAGGATATGTTAGGCTATTAAATTGTAGGCTATATATATAAAATTATTTTATTTAGGCCTACAAGTTTCGTGTTTGTGTTTTTCCTGTTTTATTCGTTGCATCTGAAAATTACTTCACCTAACTACAATAGTAGTCTACATAATTTAAATCACACACACACACACACACTTTGTGCACCCTGGTGCTGACTGATAGAGGCATTTAAATTTTGACAGCCTAAACACAGACTTTAGTCACAATGACTGTAAACAATTAATTAACGAAATGTACTGTATCCTAACTGCATGAGCTTAATCAAACTTGTCATCATTATTTTTTACCAAAAAATAACTGGGGGACCCCCCTACGTCTATTTTTTTTAAATCTGTGCTTCTCATCCATTCTGCGCTGTCTATGGGTAGTGCAGCTTCACCATACAGATTTAACTACGCACACAGCTAAATAAAACAGGCTGGGTGCTGATTAAAATTTCTGAAATAAATATTTCTGCGAAATGCGTTAGGTTGCACAGAAGAAAACCCAATCTAGGACCCACCCAGTACAGCAACAGAGGACTATTGTTTTGTTGAACAAACTGAGGATGTCACGGGCTCAGATTTAGTTGACCAATCGTCAGAAAGGGGCATGTCATGACCGCCCACAAGGGGAAAACAAATTTTGAAGTCGTTTATCCGTTTTCAACCCGTGAACCAAAAAACGAAAATCGAGCCAAAATCAAAAAAACGACAGTTTTCTTGTTTCTGCTTATTTCATTTCAAATTGAAAAACAAACTATCAAAACGTACACGGACCGAGACTCTTGTCGCCACCTACTGGTGAAACTATGTAATCTGCAGAAAAATGGTGAAAAATCCCTACCACTACACAAACTGAAATTCCATCTGAAACATCAAACGCTAACCTGTGGTGTGAACACAAACCAGTCAACACAAAGAGCCAGTGTTCAGCCAATCACATTTGACAAAAACTGTGCCTATCATTTCCAGCTATCAAACACCTGATTTATAGAATATTTAAAGTTTCCATTGTCTTACCCCATGGTGATGTCAAATATGTTGCTGCCTACAGAGCTTGAGACAGCCATGTCTCCCAAGCCTTTTCGAGCCACAATCACGCTGGTGATGAGATCAGGAATGGATGTTCCTGCAGCCAGAATGGTAAGACCCATGATTTCCTCAGAGATGCCAATGGTCTCACCCACCTAGTAGAGAAAATCTTGATGAATGGTTGCTTGTTTTGATATTTTATTTTCTAATGCAATGACATTTAAGTGTGGCTTAAGTGCCACAAATATTGGTTTCTACACTGACCTGATGTGCCCACCACACCATAAGATAGGAAAATATAGCAATCCATACTATTGAGCCAAGGAAAGTGATGACAAAGAACTTCTTGGATGCCTGTAAGCACAATATACAGTAATGTACATGTCAGTTCTATCAAATTGTGTAGAAGTGAAATAGATATATATAAAACAATGCTAATGTGATGTTTTGTTTTGGTTCTCACAGGGTTTCTGACGTCTGGAACTGTCAGCCAAAGTGGAAAGACAATGGGCAACAGAAACAAATATGTGGCCTGTTTACGTCTGGTGTCTGGCCACTCTAAGGACAGAGGTTCATCATTTTCTCCTTCCTCCCCAGCCTCATCCTCATTTTCATCATCATCATCACTGTCTTCATCGCTGTCTTCATCACTGTCATCTTCATCATCCCCTGAATCATCTGAACCTCCTGGCTTCTCTGAACCTCCTCCTGCTGCAGTGTCTCCTTCCTTAAGACAAAGTAAGAAAGAGACTGGTAAAAACATAATATCCACACAGAAAAAAAAAACAATTAGGAGAACTAACTTAAAGCAACAGTTCACCCAAAAGTGAAAGTTTTATCATCATTTACTCACATTCAGTTTGTCCCAAACCAATATGAATTTCTTTATTCTTTGGAACACAAGACGGCTTGCTCGTTTCCATGCAGTTATAATAATAAATAGAGAGGGCTTCAAAAAGTATGCAAAAGCACAATAAAAGTATAATAAAAGCAGCTGTAGCTTCATTGAATAATCTTTGTCTCTACTGAGATGTTAACCTGAAAACTGCTATGATTGAGTCAGTGATCTGAACTTAAGAAGTTGATCAGTCCGAACTGTGAATGAATCATTCAAACCAGGTTTGTAACCTGAATGAACTGGTTGATTTGAAAAATCTGACTTAAAGAATGATTAGGTCATGAAACAGACATAGTTAATGCATCATGAAAAATAACACCTTAAATTTATGGTGCTTGTCTGTCCTTTTTTTAAGCTTGAAACCTCCAGCTTTCCTTCACTGTAATGAACGTTCTTCAAACATTTGCTTTTGAGTTCCATAAAAGAAAGGATGTCATGACGTGAGGGTGATTAAATGACTTTTCATTCCTGGGTGTATTATTTCTTACATATGAATCACATACTATGTTTGATAGATCATCTCTGTCTGCTTTGCAACAAGGTAAAGAATTGATGAGCTCATTAAAAGCACACAAGTGTCTCAGATCTCCTCCTTCTTCTTCCCAACTTTTTTCAAGATGCAATAGGCCCACCTTTTGTGCCTCAGGCTTTTGACTAGCGTCTTCTTCCTTGGCTCCTGGAGCTGCGTCTTTGGAATCCTTGGACTGTTCCGTCTGATCGTCACCTTATTTAAACCACAATAATAAAATATCAGTCAAGCTTGCAATTACTTCCTAAATGTTGCAATACTACAAGCTCCTCTCAGATGTGGAGTGAAGATTTCTTCAGTAGGAGTGAGTAATGTTGCTATATCGCTTGGCGGCAATTTCAAACACAGCAGTTGCGGCACAAGATAATCCGCACTGATTCCAAGCCACTCATGCTTAATTCATGAGATGGAGCTTGGTCATTATGCCAGGTAATGTGTAAAGCAGCTCTCAAGTAGAAACAAAAGGTGGAAATACGGAATGCAGGATGCTGTGTAGAGGGCAAAACGGGCAAAACTCCTGGCAGCTTGCCCTCTCTTTGTACCTTTCATCCAGCACACAGCTGGTGCGTTACTGCTTGTGGAAATGCAACATTAATAACCATTTTGAATATGCAACAGAGCTCATCTGTGAGGTAGGACAATATACCGACCTGTCTACAAAGCTCTGTGCAATCATAATAGAACAGACTAAGATTATAAAATCTCACCTTCACCAGATTTTTCCTTCTTTTTGTTCTCTACTTTCCCCCGGGCCATGTCGTTCAAAATCTGAGCCTTGTCTTTAAATTTCACTGCAAACCAGGAAAGGAAGAATATAGCTTGAATGTAGACTTTGACTGACACTGTCAGGGTCAACAATGGCAGTACCACAAATGACAGAAGCCCTCATTTCACAGACGTAAAACAAAATGTCATTTCCTCACATCTCACAGGCTACTACAACGCGGCGTCACATCACAAGAATAACATCACAAACACCAAGCCCCTTACCTTTACATTCCAAAGAGCTTCTAGCCTTTGCACCTCCATTAAACACTGACTCTAATGAGTAAAATAGATTCATATACAACAAATACCATGGTGAGTGTCATAAATACAACTCCTAATGCCCTGCAAACTACTCATTACTGCACTGACTTGGAGTTTAAAAAAAATGTATTTGTTTAAAAACATTTTTGGACAGGTCAAGGTATAAATGCATAAGGGTGAACCTCATGTGAAGAAATGCTTGGGGTATCAAGCCTGATTTCTTAGATTATGACATTATTTCAAAAAGCTTTTCTATCAAAAACCTAAAAAATCCTAATTGTTCCAAACTTTTGAAATTTGACTCAAACTTTAGCTTTATATCATATTATATTTTGCATTACGTAATTAAATTTGGGAGGTGGGGTTTTTAATTGTAAAGGAAATAATGAAAACAAAAATGGATCTAATGGATCTAATCAATAGGCTTCTAATCAATAGGCTTAATTTCTTTCAAAAATATTTTCTATTAATTTTGGGGTGAAAGACTGATAAGCAGAGTATACAGAGCATTTTAAGGCAATACAATTGAGGTCCTAAAGTTGTTAAGTGCTTGTCAGTGATTTATCAGCCAAAATGTAGATATGTTCAAATGAATCTTTACATTTATCTCATTGACTAAGGCTTGCAAATGAGCAGGGACCCCATCACCATAACAGGATTGAGCTGCTGGAGCCTGGCTCTCATCCAGCCTTTATGAGCTCAATCAAAAGCAGCTTAATGATGGAGCAGCACAGTGCTGGGAGGTTTTTGTGAGGACCCTGAGAGCGCAGGTGCTGCACAGCCTCTTGAGGACAGGCTGAAGGTCAAGGGGACCAACCCAAACCACTAACCACAGACCTCCAGAGCACCAGGGCTTCTGCTTTACACGTATGCATGCCAGCCATCAAGGAGCCATGCAAGGTAATCGTACGATATCATACCTTCAGTGCACATAGTATTTATGTAATTAGATTCAAGCTTATGATGATGTTTCTGTAGCTTATAATAGGAACCGACATTTCTGATGACATTTTTGTGATGCTAAAATAACAGTGTTTCTGCACATAATACCATCTTGTTTGAGAGCCCATGTGCAATGAGGTTATAATATAGTGTATGTTTAAATGGTGACATACACACTGATGTGACTTGACAAAATGTCATAGAGCCACTGCGGTGGGCCTTCTCTCACTACTATGAATCACTCTCCACTCCATAGACTGAGAAAGAGCTATTTATCTTCTTAGTATCAATCTGGACTTAGTGCTGTCATCATATGGAACACGCTTTGCTAATCCATTTGTACTGGGAGAAGGACAAAGAGACTCTCCTGCTCTCCACTTCTGAATGTCTTACAGCGCTTGCCTGAGGGAATACAGGCCTATTGTATGATTGGTATTTTGATCTTTATACAATATTGATATACAAAAACAGTTCAGAAGGTGTAACCATAAAACATCTAAAGCAAAAATTGCATCTACCCTATACCTCTAGTAAACCAGTAGTTTAAATCAGCCACTTTGTATAAACAACAGTCAGTAAACATCATAAAATGGCAGAATTTGAGTCTTCAAATAATAAAAAAGCACTACATACTTAGCATATACCTTTCCTGCTTATTTAATATTAAGATTTACTAATAAACTAATTAACCTTGTGATACAGCTTTCACAAACATATCTGAAAATGATTGTTCACCCAAAAATGTAAATTCTGACATCATCTCGCCATCTTTCATTCCAAAACTGACTTTCTTTCTTCTTTGGAACATAGGAGATAAAATACTTTTTTTATGTCCATACAATGGATGCATGTTGTTTGGTTCCCAACGTTCTTCAAAATATCTTCTTTTGTGTCCCACAGAAGAACGAAAGTCATACAGGTTTGGAACGACATGAGGGTGAGTAAATGATGACAGAATTGTCATTTCTTGGTGGACTATCCCTTTAAACCACCAGAATTGAAATTTGTAACGGCTTCGTGCAATGCTTACTTAATGAGCTATCATTATGAGGGTTCAAGCACTGAAGGGCTCTTACCCTCTCCAAGAGGATCCAGTGTGTGAATCATCAGCTGAAAGATGGTGTTCCTCATAGTGCTGTTGTGCAGAGAGGCAGAACTGCCCCCGCGCTGCAGTATGGGCTTCAACTACACAAGAGAGGATAAATATTCTGACAAATGCTCACACTAAATGATCATGTTGAAAGAATTCATATCTGAACCTGCAAATTATGTGGACTTTATGGAGAATAAATGTCATATATATGTTGTTTATTTCATATGTTAATTCAATTAATAATCCCATATTCATATGACAGGAATATTCTATATTCAATTGAACATTGCTCTGTCCAGGTCGACACATTAACATTGGCTCAACCAGTTATGTGATCTCTTTGGAAACAGTCATTGTTTTGTGACTATAGTAATGCATAGATTACACCTTTTTCCTTTAAGAGTTATCAGCGATCACATATTTTGAATTATTAGTATTTGTTCATATATTTCCATATTTTTGATTACCTTTAATCTATTCTTGTCTTCTGGTTCAGGCGGCCTGTTCTCGTCACCTGAGGTCCCATTGTCCTGTGTGCAATAACAGTTTGAAACATTACAGAGGATGCAAGGCACTGATTTAACCTTTGACCTTCGCCTCTCATTCTACTGTTGAATGAGAATAAAGGTGACAACTGTTACAAACTTGACAAAGGATTCATCCACGTACCCTCATAGACTGAAAGGAGTGTATTTAAAATGTATGTATTTACTTGAAATTACAATATATATTTTTTTATTCTAAATGGAAGAATACCTGTAACATAAGATTATGTAACAAAACATACCAGTATTATTTTAGCATTATTTATATACTATTATAGTATTTATTAATATTTTGAATTAACTTTTTATATTTCCAGTCCTCATTTTCATTTTACTTTAGGTTTTAGTGATTTTGTTATGTCTTTTGTCACTTTTCTTAATATTTCTAATTAGCGTTAATTTATTATTGTTTCAGATTATGTTTTAGTTATTTTAGTACTTCGACACTTATTTTATTTCAATTACTTGCCAAGGCAACATTTCTAATTTCTCTTTATGTTTTTTAAGTTTAAGTTTTCCATCTAATATTTACATTTTATTTTGTTTCTGCTTTATTTCAATTAACGGAAATGATTTTTATAGCTTTAGTTTTAGTTAACATTTACAACACTGTAACATTTTTGTTACTATTGTATTTGTTATCTGTGATAAATTCAATCCAGTGGGTTTAGTTTGACAGAGATCTAGGTCCTCTGGGTCTAGTAAACCTTCTTACACTATATAAGCTTCAATCACACTTAGCAGATTTGAACACTCTATATGTTACACAGTTTGTAAATCACAGCAGACCCTCAAAGGATTAAGTGAACGTCTTTAGATCAGAGTGTCATTGTTTTACCAGTCCAGAGGGTCTCTTCCAGATATTAGATTCAATTATTATAATTTTGATCATATAGATGATTAATAATATGCTGTCCATTTATTAACAGACCTTTTTCCAGTATGAGACATATTTACTATAATCAATAGACTGTCACTGCAGTTTAAAGTCTCCCTCTCAGGTAGAGTGTGAACACAGAGATGTTATGACAGATTATCAAGTGTTGATCTCTCTAAACCCCTCTCTCACCACAGGCTCTAAACTGAGGGATGTTCAGGATGAAGAAAGGAACTTGTGAAAATGACCACACAGTTTTATTATGTGACGGGATAGTGTCACTAATACAGATGGGGCTGTCACAGTGAGCCAAATGCACCTGCTCCAAATACCTCGCTTGCTACAAGACAACTAATTAACGATATCTGGCCCCAGCAGACACAAGAGATCCTTTTCATTTCTGTTTATCAAAGGAAAACGCAACCCATGCGTATCTGCTCAATGAATAAACATAAGTGACTCACATTCACATTCACCTGAGTGGGATGCTATTATAGCTCTGTTATCACAGATCTGAGCAGATATTATAGCAGAATAAATGTTCCTCATCGCTAGAAGGCTTACCTGCAGAAACTGTCAACAAATTGCTAAGTGCTATCATGCAATCCATGTTCTTGAAATTGTGCATCATAGCACTAATAATGCACAAGGTTGTGGGTTCGAATCCCAGTACTAATCAAATGTATTTATTAAATACACAATTGGTCACTCTGAATAAAAGTATATGTTTAGTGAATAAATGTAAATAATATGATGCTATTTTTTGTACAATTTATTAATACAATTAATACACCTATTTATAAATACACTTGAATACACCTCTTCTATGATGAATATATTTTTAATTTCTGTATTAAGAATCATTTTGAGTCAATTTCAGGCTAATACAACTGTATAATGGCATAAACTTTTATTATTTATTAATTTTAAAAATCTGATAATTTGGCCCTTTTATAACAAGTTTAGTTTAGGTTGTGAAATGTGATGTGATTCACCAAAAAACTCCTATGTGAATATTAAAGGAAAAAATAATGAGGCGTACCTTCTCAGGCTCTTCGACCTCGATAACTTTGACTATGTTCTTGTGTTTCCTGAGTTGAGACTTAAAGGCTTGCTCTATCTGAACATTGTACTTCATGAAGACAACATAGGTAGCATAACTGCACACCAGCATCATACTCTCCCACCACATAATGGTATTGTCCAAGAAGAAGATGATGAGCATGATGAGATCGATGATATAGAACGACACATCCCGAAAAAGAGGCCACCAGGTGAGGTGAAGCATCTCCCGGGAAAACAGCGCACACATTCCGATCACAAATAGGATGTTGAAGACAGCCGAGCCAACGATGGTTCCAATGCCCACATTGCTATGAGAAATGAAGACTCCAATCAAGGAAGTGAAGAGTTCGGGAGCAGACCCTCCAGCGGCCATGAACGTTGCCCCGGCCACATCATCTGAGATCTCCAGTTTGTCTGTTATAACCCCCAACGTAGGAACGAAAAACTCATCGCAGACGATGGCCAAAGAAGCAAACATGTATACCATTCCAAAGATGTGAAGAACGACCCAGCCATTGCGTCGATCCTCAATGGAGAAGATGTCCTCCGGGTACTCGCCCTTCGTGTGTGGTGCCTCTCCAGGTCTGGACGCTGTAGTGTTGGGCACTACAGTGGTTGTATCGGTTGCTGGTGTAGGAACTGGGGTGGGTTTTGGAAGGTCTGGATCCACATAGATGCAATGGATGATTGTCCTGTTTGTGGTTGTTGTAGGTGTCTCTGTTCTAGATATTGTTGGGATGGGTACATTTGTAGCTGGTTCTGACGACTGGACCCCACCTGTGTGGTTGGAGCTCTTTGGCTCAGCAGTGGTCAAATTAGTCAAAAGCACTGTTATCTCTGACCCTCCAGAGCCAAGTTCAGAGCCATCCTCAGGTTCTCCTGCTGTCTGGGGCTCAGACCAGGGTTCTGGTAGTCTGGCTCTGATAGTGAGTTGATATAAAGAGCAAAGGAAAACCCCAGACAGAAGAAATATAATCCGGCTAAGGTGAAGTCTCTTTCTTCGAGTCAGGAACATTTTCTAGTATGCTTCCTAAAGGGCACCAAGTTGTTTTTTAGGGCAATGACACCCAGAACATCCCGAATTTCCCCCCCAAAAGATGCAGGGATATGCAGCACTCACTTTCAGACTGTTTCATCTCATTTTCTCTGTGGTGCGGGTTTCCTCTCACAGACCTTACAGTGGATAAAAGGAGGAATACTGAGTGCAACAGTTGTATAGGAAACACTGAATGCAGGATCAGCAGATTACAGTGGCCATTACACTCCTAAGATTGTTCATCTAACCAACACACTGCATTGGATTAAATTAAAACAAAAATGAAATAATAGTTTAACAACTCTAGCTTCTTGTTAATTACATTGTTAGAAGCATGTGAACAGATTAAAATACGGATCCAACATATTACCATGGTCAGAAATAAAGAAAAACCTGAGCGTGGGGCAAAATGCCACTTAAAGTAAAGAAATGCGCCTAATCATCAGTTATTCAACCTTTTATACATTTCATTCACATCTATCTATCCATCTGTCTATCTGTCTGTCTATCTATCTATCTATCTATCTATCTATCTATCTATCTATCATCTATCTATCTATCTATAATTCACATAAATTAATAGCACACCATGTGTTATGTAGCCTAGGAAAAACGCCATAATAAACAATAAAGGTGCCCCTGTTTCAAGAGATATTGTCCCTTAATAAAAACAACAACTTTTGACACTGCTTCTGAATGAATAAATGATTAAGAAAAGCATTTCTTGAAGAATTTCTATCATTTAAGTCTAAACGAACATAGCATGGAAAATATCCGTCTCATTTCTATTCAAGTTTTTTGTCAAGCCTATACATATATTACTAATAACATTGTGTCATTATAAGAAGCTCCGCAAAAACAATGAAAATGACGTATTTTGTAACACAGTGGCATAACCAATAAAATGTAAAGTGTGACCAACTGTTTGGTGGCGGCAGGTATTTCTATATCGGCCATAAATGAACCATATTAACAAAGAAATGTATATTAAAACTTGCTTTGCTCTCATGCAAGAAATAATCCAGAACACGCCAAATAAAACCTACCGGTTGAAAGACGACGCTCGCGGCGGTGCGTGGAGCGCTGCTGTCTCACAGCTGGGCTGCAGGGAAAGGCACGGATGCTGGGAGCGCTGCTTAGGTCAAGCAGGACGCACCGCAGGACAGCTCTTCAGCGTGGATCAGCACAATACCTAATGCCTGAAGTCTTTTAAGAGGATTAGATGTACTTTCTCCTCACACTCTCATTACGTCTTGAACCATTTATCCCAATTATTTTGCTCTTATAAATTTAATTCAGAATTATAGAAAGTGAATACACGCGTAAACTTGCTAATTAAAAATATAATCTGAAATCTTAAATCAACTTTTGGATAATAGTTTATTATTATTACATAATTATGGTTATGTATTATGGATTACAGATTACAGATTAATATTAAATTGGTCCACAATGAGATTTTTAACTGATTCTAACAGGTTTTGTCCACAGCATTATCCTAGATATGTACGTTTGTGTATTGGCTATCTCTTGTATTTTTTCCCGTTTATTTTATGAGATAATTTATATTACGATACAACTTTTAAAATATAATTTTCTCTAGCTCGTTCTCGACTAGGAACTAGTTAGCAGGTTTCTTTTGTTTCCAAACGGTCCGGTTATCACGGTGCACACTTGGTTAAGAAGAAGGGATTTCAGCGATGGGTAAAATTGTAACATTTTATTGAAATGTTCAAAAGTTGGTTTGCATATCTAACTTACGAGTTGTATTCGAAAATATCTACGGAATTTAAAACGTTTATAATCATTCTGAGTCAAATTTACAGTGCGAACGTTTGGCAGGACACTGACATAGCAACATTCATATTTACTTTGGTTGTTTGTAACATGAAAAATAAATGAAAAAACAGTGTACGTACGTCTAATAAACTCCAGATTTAAACAGCCTCAGAATTGATGGTCTCCCATCCTGGTCAAGCAGCTCTGGTTTTAGAGGGGTTTTGGATTCTGTAAGCTGGTCAGACTGGGAGACCAGCTGGCCAGGAATAGTTAGGCAAGTTTAAACCAGCAAAGACGAGCAAACCATCTTAGGCTGGTTTACGCTATTTTTTGGTTTTTTTTATTTTTTTCTTCAGCAGAGCGCAATAATAACAAAACCAGGGAAATTATTGTATATGTGCGTTTTCAATTAACCAAACGTGCTTGTGATGTCCACTGCAGAAGCCTCTTTGCTCACACCGTCATATGCTCCTGTTTTACACAGATGTCTCAAGCTTTCATTCATAACTGTTCTTCAAAGTGTAAAGAGAAAAGCTTGCTACCATGCCCACTGTGGTTCTTATGGACTCGTCGCTGTCCATGACACGACCCGTGTCAGTGGAAGGCAGTGAAGAGATTCAGAGAAAGAACCTGGCAGTTCATGGACTGACCATGCTGTTTGAACACATGGCCACAAACTACAGACTGGAGTTCACTTCACTTGTCACCTTCTCCTCCCTCTGGGAGCTTATGGTGCCCTTTACCAGAGACTACAATACTCTGCAGGTAAAAACAGACCAGTTGTCATGCTGTCTACATAAAATATAAGTTGTCTGGTCTCTTATTGTTATCTCTCACCCAATGTTTTGCAGGAAGCCTTGAATAACCTTGAAGACTATGATAAAACCTGCCTAGAGGCTGCATTGCAAGGTGTTAGTAATATAGTACAGCAGGAATGGGGAACCTCTTGCCCATGCCAGGTAAAAAAAAACATTGAAAATACAATATATTATGGAAAAAGCAATATTGTGAAGCATGCAAATACAGTACACTCAGGGGTGCATTAAAGGGGTCATATGATGCGATTTCAAGTTTTCCTTTCTATTTGGAGTGTTACAAGCTCTTGGTGCATAAAGAAGATCTGTAAAGTTGCAAAGACTAAAGTCTCAAATCCAAAGAGGACGATATCCGCTTCGTCATGCCTAGAGCTGATCTGTGCTGGTCGCTGAGGGAATACATCAACTTTCAGCGTGGACAAAGCGGAGTCCAGCCCGGGGTCCGTCACATGTGCTTGCCGCCGGGCACACCGTTCTCGACCCCGCCGCCTCAGCTCCCTCTATCCCGGCCTCAGCGCACGCTAAGCCGGGGCTTCCCCTCACGCTAGGCCGCTGTGTTTTTCCACTGGATGCAACAAATGCCTCGTTTGTAATGGGGTTTTAATGTTTTGTCTCGTCGCTCCGGCCGGACACGGCATCAACAGTATGGTAAGGGGCGTAACATTTCCGTCACACGCTTGAGGTATTCGGCCAATCACAATGCACTGGATAGCTGGCCAATCACAGCACACCTCGCTTTTTCAGACCGATGAGCTTTGTAAAAATCGACGCATTTCAAAAAGGCGGGGCATAGAGGAGAAACAATAATGTACAGTATGTGGAAAATAATGTGTTTTTTTAACTTTAAACCGCATAAACACATTTCATTACACCAAATACACAAAATAATGTTCTTTTTAGCAGCATCATATGACCCCTTTAATGCACCGGTTTTGACGGGCTGAAGCCCAGGGGGATACACTGGGAAGGGGGCCCACTGGCTGCAAGGAAATTATATTTTTTCGAATAATTATTTGAATATATGGGAATTTGCAGCAGTGACAACAGCGTTTTGTAAACAAACTCACACACTTATTTTCAGAGATGCCCTGGTTGTAGTTTATAGTGAATGGTTCAGTTTAAGTTTCCCCCACACAGTTTGTATAGTTGGTATGTTCCATGTATTCCACCGATATACTAGCGGAATACACAATGCATGCGCTAGTAAAGCCCAGCACGAGAGTGTCTTTATGTTAACGTGCAGATCAACAAGAAACACAACACTGCTGTGTGAAAGGAGCTGGACCGGACAACTTTCTGTAATGTCATACAGTGCGAGTTCAGTGACTTGCGTGAATGAAATCTGTGTGTCAGCTGAAGGTTTTAGATTCAGTCGCTGTGTTCCAACATGCTGCTTCAGAGTCTCAATCTCAAATCTGGGGATGGAAGAATAGGACTCATCCTATTGTTTAAATGTGATCATTAAACTTTGAACGGCTATGATTGAATTAATTAAGCGCAAGCACGGCACGTTTCAAAATAAAAACGCAGTTAGCAATCACCAAATAGCTCACATTTATGCCAACTTGCCAAGTGTTGTTTCGATCTACTGATGATGAATAATGAATATTTTGTGTAATTTATGGTGTTTAAATCATACCTGTAAACCCACATTTGGGCTAGGAAAGTTTTGATGACATTTTAGGGCTCCAGACTCATTCTTCCCACTGGTCACTCTTTTGCAACTAACTTTCTTAGTTGGTCGCATGAGCACATGATTTGGTCGCAGTTATTGTTGTTGTTTTTTTTGCCACCTTCTGGCAAGGAATGAATTTGCATATTCACTTATATTCACATTTTGCGCAGAACAGTTGTGAATATTAACTGGCATATCAACAAGGGGGAAAAAAATCGAAATATGACAAATAATTGTCAGGAAGCTTAAAAAAAAAAAAGTTATTTAGGGAAGGGGGGGCCTACTGTAATGCTGTAGCCCAGGGGCCTCTGGTTATCCTAAGGCGCCCCTGAGTACACTTATATATACATATTGGAATATCCAGAATATAGTATGAAATACAGTGTTATGCCATATCAGTGTACAGTACAATGTAGTATATACAGTAATGTACGTTATACATTTAGATTAGTGCTGTCAAGCGATTAATCGCAATTAATCCAAAATAAAAGTTTTTGTTTACATAATATATATGTGTGTACTTTGTATATTTATTATGTATGTATAAATATAGATACATACAGTATATATTTTGAAAATATGTACATGTATTTACGTGTATATATTTATTCATATAATTGATATTATATATAAATATATTTCATATATAAACAACATGTTTTTCTGAAATATATACATGCATGTGTGTGTATTTATATATACAAAATAAATATACACAGTACACACATATATATTATGTAAACATAAACTTTTATTTTGGATGCGATTAATCACGATTAATCGTTTGACAGCACTATTTTAATGTAAATGTATTGTACATTTTTAAAATAGCTGGCAATGGGTTAGGTCTTTTTAGTTAATGGATATGAATGATGCTTTATACTGGGTACTGCTTTAGTAGAATGTCTAGATTTTAAACATTTTTTTTTTTTATATACAACTGAGATAATTGTTCCATTCTATTTTCTACAGATAATTATTTTTTATATATAATGCTAAATGTTTTGATTTGACTGCATTGATGTTGTTTATCAGTGTTTATGTTGTTCTTATGGTGGCCTGTAGGTGGTACTGGTTACTGATGGTGCACTTGGCATTGGTCGTGGATCTTTGCGTCATTCCCTGCAAACAGTGAAACAACGTGTGGAGGACAAGAAATTTCCACTGCCATTCCCATTCCCTTCCAAACTCTATGTCATGTGCATTGCTAATGCAGAAGAGGTACATTAGTCTGTTTTTACTGTGTCCTTACCAATGTTATTTTGGTATGATTAAGAGACTATTTTATTTTTTATCATTATTTTGAATGAGTTTTCATTTTTATATCTTCCGTTTTAATTTTAGTTAGAATTTTAGTAATTTTGTTGTGTTTCTTTCGTTTTTATTAGGTCCTGTTTGTTTTTTGTCTTTGTACTAACTTGGTTTTTCCATTACAATGAACATACTCAGGAGCTTTGAACATTCACTTTATTTCATAATTTTATATATATATATATATATATATATATATATATTTATAATTTCTTCCTTTATTTTATGTTTTTCCTCTATTAAATCTATGTTGTTTTGATGTCCCCTGAAGCTCCAAGCTACGGATAGCATGGATAACCTCTGAAATCTTTCACTTCCTGCCTGTTCTCCACTGTGTGGGTCTCTTCAAACTTCTTGATAATACTTCTCACGGCTGGGAAAAGTATTATTATTAAGGGCTAATAATATTGACCTTAGCAATTTTTTGTATTTTTTAAATAATTATTTTATTCCAGGCAAATTGAAATAAATAAGGCTTTCTCTGGATGAAAAATATAATAAGAAATACCGTGTTAAAGTTCCCTTGCTTTGTTAAACATCACTTGGGAAAAATCTGAAAACGAACTGAAATTTCATAGGGGGGGGCTAATAATTTTTTCTTCAACTGTACTACTGAATACTGTATATTCTTGTATTTGATTTAAGTGCATTCTGCTGTTTATGCAACATTTTGAGGTTAACATTACTTTTGTGTTGGCAGTAAGCTGATTGACCAGGCATACTCTCCCTTCCATGCGGTAATGCGCTGTGGGAACCTGACCTCTGATGTGCAGGTCTTTCCCAGGCCAGAGCCAGTGACCATAGATGAAGAAGTGGATCCCATGCCCAGAACAGTGCAAACAGGTATGAGCAAAGAAGCTAATGAAATTATCATGTCCTTAATGTTAATAGATCGTTGGAGACATCTTAAAGTGCTACTTGCTGATTAAGGACCTTGTGAAGTAATCCCAGAAGGTGCTCTTTGGTTGGGTTTAAAGCAACTATTACAAAAAAAGAATCCAAGGCACTTCTTCTGGTCCAAAAGAGTTAAAAAGCCTTTATTCACATTCTGGCCATCTCAATAAACATTAAAAATGCCTAAAACTCTGCACACTGATACATTTCGGCCTTCCTCAGAGTGTGTCAGGTGTGTCACACATATATAAATAAGGCATTTTATGTGAGCATGTTTACATAATAAATATAAATGTATATAAAAAGTATTACATTTCAAGCCTTTAATCGACAATAAATGTAAATAAATAAATGTTTTTATTTGTTGCTAATCATGCTTGATTCTACATAAAGAGGAAATTGGAGCAAAGTGCACTTGATAGTTCTTTTACTTTGTTGTGTTTTATATATAGATTTGGAGATTGTGGGTTTTATTGAGATTGGAGATATCTCCAGCCCCCCGGTTTTATCCAGGCACCTGGTCCTTCCCATTGCTGTGAACAAAGGTCAGTATTTTGCTTCATATTTTTTTTCCTACAGTAGGTCATCTTATCCACATCCTTATTTATTTTCTGTTAGTCCTGTTGTAATGACAAAGCTGCTCAACTTGTTTAATTACAAAAAAGAAGTGGCAATATATTAAAATGGTGAAATAAAATATTTATAAAAATCATGGAATTCCATAATTCCAGACGTTTCAGTAACACTTTTTAACCAATTAATGACTTTATAGTTGTTCATGGTTATTTTGATTATTGTTATTATTTTCTCTGCAATTTCTACCTTGTAAAATATTTTATCAAACATTTGTTTTTATCAAATGTTTCATTCAGTATATATTTTGAAAATATTTACATGTATATACATTTATACAAAGACCGTTTTTGATGAACAGGTAAGTATGCTGAAAGCCTTTAAAGAGAATTAATGTCTTGACAATTAAAAGTGTTATATAGCCTTGAATCATTCTTTGACTTAATGTTGACAACAATGGAATCACTTGGGAGGGAATTGCCAAGAGACTTATTTATTAGCACAAAAGAGGACAATGGTACAAAAGGAATACCAAATCATTGTTTTAAGTGTGAAAATATAGCAAAAGTAACACTTCGCTTTAAGCGTTCATTTAGTGATGAGTGATTTTTGCTAGAAAAAGAGCAGGAAAAATACCAAGCGTCTCAGAGCCGACAGAAGCTATGGAAAGATATACACACACACACACTTTAACATTAATATAGTTTGAGCTTATTAACTTGTCACATCGGCTGGGGCTCATAGGCATGTTCTTTTGCTTGACAGAGGGGGATGAGATCGGTACGGGGGCCACTGATGACACAGAGGAAGAGACCCCAACAAATCAGATGGCTGGAAAGAGCCCAAACTTCTGTGTTCTTCTACATGGCAGCCTAAAGGTGGAGGGGATGGTGGCACTTGTACAACTAGGGTAAGGATCAATATGAAAATATGCATCTGCCTTTTCATAAGCATTCAAAATGTTTGCATTACATAAAAAAATTTGCTTTTAGTGAATTGCACTGTCAAATGAGAAGGATTTGTTTTCATCTCCAGCATATTTGAGATGAATAATCTAGTTACTGTGAAATCAAAGTTTTCCCTGTCCATAATGTTTCCTCTGGCAGGCCAGACTGGTTCGGGATGCTTTATTCCCAGGCAGACAGTAAGAAGAAGTCCAATCTAATGATGTCACTCTTTGAGCCTGGCTCAGAGCCTCTGCCCTGGTTAGGCAGAATATCACAGCTTGGCCCTGCCTCAGGTAGCAAGTTTTTACTCAGTAATTTTATGTAACAGCCACACTAAAAATGCATAAAAAATAAACGGCACTGTTTTGTTTTATGCATTGTGTTCCAAGTAGTTCATAATTAATACACTGAAACAAAAGTAACCTGGATGGTTCACGGAGTTCAGTTAGGAAACTTTTAGGTAAATAAATACACAAGGGTCAGGGATAACGGTAATACCACACATTTGCATGATTAAATATTTATTTTCTTCTCTCACGCTTTGGTACCTTCTGAGACTGGAGGAACAGACATAATAAAATATTTGCTCATTGTTTGCATAAGGTTTTGCTTACTGGCCAAAGATATACTGTAAATATCAGTTGACTACGATTCTTTGTTTGCATGACCTACAGATGCAGCTGAAAATCCCTATGGCGAAGATGACAGTAAAAGTCCTTTTCCCATACAGCCAAAAAACAAAAGAAGCTATGCTCAGAATGTTACCGTCTGGATTAAAGCCAGTGGACTGCAGGTATACACCTGAATACTACACTACATTTAATATATCCGACATGACACTAATTAAAAGTCATTTTACTAAACTTTTTTATAATCACACCTTCAGACGGATGTACAGAAAATTCTCCGTAATGCAAGGAAACTGCCAGAAAAAACACAAACCTTCTATAAGGTGGGTATTTATACATATTACATTTTTCAATTTCTTTCTCTATATATATTTAAAAAATAAAGTTTATTATGTAGAAAGGATATCATATGCTGATATGACCCTTTTGATTACAGTTAAAATAATTTTTTGTTGTGAAATGTTATTTTCATCACTGTAGGAACTGAACCGTCTGCGGAAGGCCGCTCTCGCCTTTGGTTTCTGGGAGCTTTTAAAGAGTGTGGCTGAACTTCTGGAGAGGGAGTGTACACTGCTGCCTGACTCCGCCCATCCCGATGCTGCCTTCCAGCTCTCTCATGCTGCTCAGCAGCTCAAACTGGCTAGTAGTGGAGACTCCAAATATGCAGCCTATGAACACAATATCACCCCCATGCTCACCGATTTCTCAGGGGGAGGAGGAGCCGACAGAATATAGAGGATTGAGGTACAATGCTCATTGGACAACTGCCAGATCAGTTATAGAGGAATGTACCTTTATTTAAAAACTCTGCTCAATGCGAAATGTTTGTCCAAGGGAAACAAGTTACTGCAGTAGAATCACACAAATGTGGCATTTTCAATGTTGTAGTAGTAGTGCCACAAAGGTTTGGAAACATGTGACATAAATTATGACATTGAACACTCAATTTGAGGAAAGAAAAACATTCATCGGTTTTCCAAGAAAATGCATTTAGACTTTGGAATCTGTTTTCAGACCAGCAACTGTTTGTGTAAATAACTTTTTCTAACAATGACCAATAAAAATGAAACTGCCTGTAGTTTATGCTTAATGATAGTCACCTGAAAATCAATGCTTTATTTCATTGAAATTTAATTAAACATTTCACTGTTTCATTTACACATTCACATCCAGATCCCACATCCAACGACACTGAATCGGCTCTTCTCTGTGACTTGAATGCTTCACGACGTTTTCCCTGAGGTTCATGGTCTATGTTGTTGTTATCAGTTCTGTGTCAACAGAAATGACTACTACAACACATCTCGGGGAATGACAGGAAAATAAAATGTTGCTTCTGTAAACCTGTCACACAGCTAATCTACAACATCAAACACACAAGCATACTGCATGTAGATGGACTGATACAATATAGAAATACCTTCATGGTCCTGGTTTGATAAGATCGATTTCTTTCTAGTGTTTTAAATTAATCATCCATATCCTCTACAACTCAGACATGGTCTTTCAGCATGTAGAAAGTAAATGCACTTGAGTTGGTGTTTGAAAGAAGAGAGATAGTTTTCCCTCAGTAATGACTTCTCTGTGACAGAGGGCAAATGTAAAGAAAGAAAATGGAGGCGGCAAATTAAATAAAAGAAAACAGAGACACACATGGAGAGTGAAACATGTGGCTTCCCCTTCCCCTCAGTTGGCTTTCCTCTTTTTTGTGTGAAACCGTCTACTCCTTTGCTTGAAGAGGTGGCGGAAGTTGATGAAGAGCCCTGAAATCGTAGAAAATATATTTGTTGCATAGCAGTTATACTCTTTTACAGGGTTCCCACAGACATGGAGAACCTGGAAATATTTGGGAATTTAAAAATATAACAAAAAATATTAACATGTCATGAAACTGTAATGGCAATTTATACTCTGTTTATGCTCAAAATGTCTATAAATACATTGAACAAACATTGTGGGAACCCTGGATTCATTTTTTTGCATGAGTTTTGTGGACCTTACCCAAGAACATGATCACCAGGTAGAGCTGCAGGATGTAGGAAAAGCTGAGAGAGGTGCCAATGGCTTTAGGCAGAGGAATACTGAGGAGTTTGGTTTCATCAAAGATGGGGATGGACTGGATCACCGCCACAGCTGATCATAATATAAGGGAGCATAAGAAAAGCTGTCAGTTACACGTGAACATTATAAATTAATGTCTCACCTTCTCATGAACAGCCCATCATGATTTTTAATTCTGGTAGGGCTAATCTACAGATACACATACCTTCAGCCAGAACTCCGAGAGGGTACAGCGGTATCCATATGGTGTATCTCAACCAAGTCAACAACTTCCATTCCGTATCAATGCAGGCCAACATGTAGAAAGGATACCTATGGTTCATTTTCACAAATGCAGGATTAGATCCATTTTTATTCAACAAAAGGTCCCTTTTAGGACCGAGCTTGTAGGGCTCAGATGATTACATCAACAACACTGCTTTTTAAATCAAAATAGAAAAATACACTCTACTGTTTAAAAAGTTTTGAAAGATATTCATGTTCTTTAAAGTCTGTTATACTCACAAAGACTGCATTGATTTGATCAAAAATACAGTAAAACAATATTGTGAAGCAGTATTATAATTTATTTATTTTTTTTCAATTTTAATATATTTTAAATGTAATTTATTCCTGTCATTACTCCAGTCCTCACTGTCACATGATCAAAATAGAAAAATACACTCTACTGTTTAAAAAGTTTTGAAAGATATTCATGTTCTTTAAAGTCTGTTATAAGACTGAAGACTGCATTGATTTGATCAAAAATACAGTAAAACAATATTGTGAAGCAGTATTATAATTTTTTTTTTTTTTTTTCAATTTTAATATATTTTAAATGTAATTTATTCCTGTCATTACGCCAGTCCTCACTGTCACATGATCCTTGATTTGATACTCGGGAAACATTTCTGATTATTACCAATGTCGAAAACAGTTGTGCTGCTTAATATTTTTTGAGAAACCATGATACACTTTGCTTTTTTAGGATTCGTTAATGAATACAAAGTTCAAAAGAACAGCATTTATTTAAAGTAGAAATCGTTTGTAATTGTATGAATCCCTTTACTGCCAATTTTGATTAATTAAATGCTGAATAAAAAAAATAAAATCTTAGTGACCCTAAACTTTTGAAGTTACTGGTAAGTGTATATCTATTTTAATAAAAAATATTTATTTTATAAAATAAAATCTAAACAAATTACAAACATATAACATTCAAAACTGTTACAGATATGTATTCTCATTTATATATTGTCATATGAACTAGTTACATTGCTTTCAGCCCTAGTTTTGAGGGACTGACTGCCATTTCACTCTTTGCACACGGATATGTGTCTCCTAGTGATAAGTTGTGTGAGCCCACAGGAAGAGAATGATAGCAGAAGAAGTGTGGATAAACTGTGGCTGTACAGAAACCACATCACTGATGAAAGAGCAAAGAACATAAAAACGGCCTAAAATCATTACCCTACATATTTATACATATACCAAGCTCAAAAAAATACACAGGTAAACTTCTTTCAAATGTAGTATGTATTCTGTTGCTGTAATTCCAAATTAGGTTCTAATTTTCAGTATATTTTGGAAAGAGAAAATGCATATAGGAAGTTGAAATATTAGCACAAAGAAGAGGATATCCTGTAGATAAAGAATGCAGACTACTCCATCACACAAACTCCTACATTTCCTCACCATCAGCAGAAACTGTGCTCTTAATAAACATGCATATGTAACATACTATTAATTACCTGAATATCTCAATCATACTCCATAGATAGAAGACAAAGAAGACCACTGGCTTGTTCTGCATTTCCTCTAAAGTGCCAAATATGACAAAAAGGATGAAGTTCCTCCCCATCACCTTTAACAAGAGGAATGTAAATATCTCACTGTCATAAAATTGATTATTCAAAGAAGTATATAATGAAGTGCATTTAATTGGTTACAAAAGCATGAGGCGCACCAGACATACCTGAATGAAAGCAGGCATGACTCCAGTCTTAACCAACCCAACAGCAGGATTAATAACCTCCATTATTGCCAGCATCTGACAGAAGTACATCACGTCGGCAATAGTATGAAATGTGTCGTAGAAAGAATCTGTTGGGTTGAGAGAAAAAACAGTAAAGACCATACTGAACTCCGAGACAGACAACTATGTTTTCACTGTTTTCACACTTTGGAGAACCACTTTACACCAACCAATTAAAGCGGCTTTTTCACACGACATGTTTCACACTGCTCATAATTTATCCTAGGTTAACAATTAATCCTGGGTATTGATACGCTGATGTTTCACTGTACATTCCTAGATCCTGGTTTAACATTCTTATTTGCATATTTGTGGTGTCAGTATCAATGATTGGACGAACACAGCACACAACTTGTTCACATAAACTGCAAAAGCTGTGCTAACCATGTTTCTGAGCAGGGGTTTCTTAACCCCCGGGTAAAAACCTCACTTCTAAAATGTATGTATATATATATATATATATATATATATATATATACACAAAAATTTGCATAACAGACCTGCAGGCCTTCTCAAAAAAAAGAAAAATTCAAATGAGATGCATTTCCTCACAATAACAACAGCTAAAAAGCAGAAGTGTATTTTTAAGCTGCTTACAAAAAGTTTAAAAACTAGACTAACCTTGCCCAAGAATGAACAGACGTACAGTCATGTTGACAAATATCCAGGAATAACCGAGCAACTGGACCAAGTTGTACATAAAGAGAAAACCTTTTTTCAAGCCAAGAAAAGCTGTAAACACAGCAACATAAAAAGAGTAATGAATACATGGTTATTATTTGGTAAGCTGACCCAATGCGTTTACTTTCTACTTGAAAGAATTAAATATATACTCACGGTCCTTACGAACCCTTGACTCAATGTTGATTTTGTTTATTTTCTCTTCCTGTGCACAGAAAACAGTTGAACACATCAGACAGTGCACTTCTGTGAAGCTCCTCAAATATAACGAATAATTGGTGTTTTTGGTTATTAGTAAACCTCTTCACCTTCTCTCTGAGCTCCATTTCTGCATCTGACTCATCCAGCCAGCGGTCAAAATCAGGTGCTAAAAACAGAGGCTTCTTCTCTTGTTTAGTGAGTCGATTCCACCAGACGTGCTCCTGCTTCTTTACTGTGATATTCACCTGCCGCTGGGTGGATTTGTGTTTCACCTGTGGACACAAACATTTTCATGTTCCTCCTGTGCAGCCAAACACTTTACATCGATGTTTTCAGAAATTTCTCACAACAGTATAAAGGAAGATGGCTGTTACCTCAGGTTTAACAGGTTTTAGGAATTCCAGACTGAATTCATATTCATTTTCTCCTTTCGCTCCATGCCCTTTACCTTGAAAAGAGCAGAATAAACAGAAGTCACACAACCGAAAAGAAAGAGCATCCAGCTGATGGTTAGTCGTGAGATGTACCTTTGAAGTGAAGGATGTTCTCTTCTACACCAATACTGAGACTCTGTGCGATAGACACAAAACGAGTACAAAGAAGTGTGAAGTCAAGTTTCAAGCTCCTCCTCCCACTGCCTGTTTTATCAGTACAATGCCCTCAAATACACCATGCATACCCAGTTATAAAATAATGAAGCTTCAGTAATGAATGGAATACATAATAAAACAACACATTCACTGAGTCAGGCTTTCTGATATTCCATGTTTTTTAAAATCATTTTAAACTGGTTACA